CTGGCCCGCCCCCGGCGGAAATGCCCGAGCGTATTCGGGCCGGGCTGGTGAACGGAGGCCGAGGCGGAGTCTGAGGGGAGGGAGCACCCGAGTGTTTCCGGAAGTAACCGAACGTAATCCCGCGGGACTGGTGTACTAGAGGGAGCCCCGAGACAGCCGAGCATTTCCGGAGGTAGCCGAGTGCAATCGGGTCGGCGAAGGCTCCGAGGCTAGGCTCGGCTGAGCTCGGCAGGGCTTAGAGACGCCCGAGCGCTTCCGGAAATGGCCGAACATTCTCTCCCGCTGGACTGGCGCAATGGAGGCGGATCCCCGTGACCGCCGAGCGTTTCTGGAAATAACCGAATGCGCTCAATGCCCAGTGGAGGCCTTGGGAGTTTAGACTCAGAGGGACCGCCAGCTTATGGAAATTGCTGAACCATGGATGGTTCCCAGGGCAAATGAGGCTTTCTCAAGCTCAGCAAACAGGGGGCACTGGAGTGGGGAAAGGGCCTGCGGCAAAAAGCAGAGGTCCGAGAAAGCCAGGGTTGAAGAAGTTTCCATGGCAACCCAGAGCGTCCGGAAACAGCCAACGATCTCGACCCCTACGGGCACTAGAACTTAGCGGACTTGAGCCCAGATGCCAGCTGTTTCCGGAAATAGCCGAACGCTCTCGGAGATGGGGGTGTAGCCAAGAAGGTTTGCAAGCCGGCTGAGCGCCCCGGAAGTAACGGATTGCTCTAGGGCTGGGCTGCGTTCGGCTACAGGAAGTTTTATGGCAGAGCGCAAGCTAAGACCAGGATAGAAAGGATGCGACGATTGCTTATTTTATTATTATTATTTTTTGAGACGGAGTTTCGCTCTCGTTGCACAGGCTGGAGTGTAATGGCGCTTTCTCGGCTCGCCGCAACCTCCACCTCCCGAGTTCTAACGATTCTCCTGCCTCAGCCTCCTGAGTAGCTGGGATTACAGGCATGCGCCACCACGCCCGGCTAATTTTGTATTTTTAGTAGAGACGGGGTTTCTCCATGTTGGTCAGGCTGGTTTGGAACTCCTGACGTCAGGTGATCGGCCCGCCTCGGCCTTCCAAAGTGCTGGGATTACAGGCGTGAGCCACTGCGCACCGCCGCTTATTTATTTTATTAACATAGCTCAGGGCGTCCAGGAGGTCGAGGCTGCAGTGTGCCGTGATGGCGCCACTGTACTCCAACCTGGGTTACAGAGCGAGACCTTGTCTCAAAAACATAAAAATAAAAAACATAGGCCGGGAGTGGTGGCTCACGCCTGTAATCCCAGCACTTTGAGAGGCCGAGGCGGGCGGATCACGAGGTCAGGAGATCGAGACCATCCTGGCTAACACGGTGAAACCCCGTCTCTACCGAAAATATAAAAAATTAGTCGGGCGTGGTGGCGGGCGCCTGTAGTCCCAGCTACTCGGGATGCTGAGGCAGGAGAATGGCGTGAACCCGGGAGGTGGAGCTTGCAGTGAGCAGAGATTGTGCCACTGCACTCCAGCCTGGGCGACAGAGCGAGACTATGTCTCAAAAAACAAAACAAAACAAAAAAAAACATAGCTCAGGGCCCAGATGTCTGGAGGAAGCTTTTAAGGGCAGAGCTATGATGGAGTACTCATAGGTAGCAGGAGGCCACTACCAGCGATGGCATCAGGAAGAATCTCAACAGCAAACTCCCAGGCAGCCCTCAAAACCCACTTGCAATGACTTTAAGCCATGGGTCTATTTCACTCCCCTCCCCTCCCCACTCTTCCCTTCCTCCTTTCTCAGCCTCACAAATCCAGACGTTGGAGCTCATCTTTGTAAATACGGGCTTTTATTCACTGCCAGCTCCAGGATGGAAGGAGGGGGTGAGTCATGCACAGCCTTGGTCTACCCTCCAACACTAGGCAGTGCTGGGCAGGGGACTCAGAAAGGGACGCAGAGTGGGCTGTTGATGTCTGGAAAGCTCCCTCACCAGAGTGCCCAGTGGGTCACACAGCATCATGGGGGATGAGCTGGGGCTGGAGTCGGCTGTATCTGACACCAGAACCTCCATTCAAGCTCCCTTGATGACAACGCCCACAACAGGGTCTGGCTGATGCTCCATTCTGCCACGACTCCTGCTGGGTGATCATTGGACAGGTTTCCGCCCCTTGCTGGGGTCTCAGCTGCTTTGTCTGTAAAACGGAGGTGATGATGCCACCTCCAGCCTTCTCAAGGCTGGCTGAGGGAGAAGCCACGTAAAAGCGCTTGGCACACAGTAGGTGCTTAATAAACAGTCAATGGGATTAGTCTTGTAAACACAAGGAAACTGAGGCACAGAGTGGGAAAGCCATTTTCCCAGAGCCACACAGTGAAGCTGAAATTCAAACTCGAGCCTCAACTGGGTTTTCTTGCTTGAACTTCATCCCAGAGAGGCTCTGACATATGGAGGGAACCCCTAACAGGTGTTTCAGATACATCACTGCCAAGGGCTCACTCTGCTGGGCCTCAAACACACGGCATCTTGTCCAGGGTAGACTGGACAAAGTGAGGCCGAGGCAGAGCCTGAGGGGAGGGGACACCGACTGTTTCCAGAAGTAGCTGAACATAATCCCGCAGGACTGGCATACTGGAGTGTGCCCCGAGACAGCTGAGCATTTCCGGAGGCTGCCTTGGCAGTGCCAGGTGAGGCCTATGCCTTCCTTTATCAGTGCCCACCTTGGGAGCAGATGACCCCTCTGCCCAGATCTGGTGAACACCTATTCATCCATCAAAGCCCCAGCTCCCACATCCCTTCTCCAGGCTGAAGCCAGGGGGATTGGAGGCAGACTCTATATATAGAGTAGGCACTGCCTGGGGATGGCAGCTATGACGGTGGGAAGTGGCCTTCAGAATCCAGTCCATCGTTGGGATTACATTGTTTTGTGGGTGAGGGGAATCGTTTACGGACACTCCAGGTTGTATCCAAACTGGGCTAGTACAGGTGACTTCAACTCAATCCCCTCCAATGGGTGGGCGTGGAGAAGGGAATGAGACCAGGTAACATAAAACACTTAAAAAGTACAGAAAAACTAGAAAACACAAACACAGATGACTTGTCCAAAGTGCTTCCTTCTCAGCCCAGAGGGCAGGGCCTGCAAACAGGGTCCCAGGTGCCTGGGGCAAGACCTGGCGGCCGCCTGCAGGGGGCGGCTCAGTCTGGCTATCGCTTATAAAAAGTAATAAATTAGGCTGGGCCCAGTGGTTCACTCCTGTAATCCCAGCACTTTGGGAGGCCGAGGTGGGCAAATCATGAGGTCAGGAGTTCGAGACCAGCCTGACCAACATGGTGAAACCCCGTCTGTACTACAAATACAAAAAATTAGCTGGGCATAGTGGCGGGCGCCTGTAATCCCAGCTATTTGGGAGGCTGAGGCAGGAGAATCGCTTGAACCCGGGAGGCGGAAGTTGCAGTGCGCTGAGATCACGCCACTGCACTCCAGCCCAGGCAACAGAGTGAGACTCCGTCTCAAAAAAAAAAAAAAAAAAGTAATAAATTAGTTGCAGGGATTTGCTGCTATTTACAAAGCTACCCTTATCCCCCATTCCTGCCCCATCCAGCCCCCTGATTGACACCAGAACACAAGGGAAGTGATGTCTCCACCTCCCAGCAAGGACCAAGATGGCTTCTTGCCTTCTGGGTGTCAGGCTGGTGGCTCAGTCCCCATCCAGGCGTGACTTTACAGAAAAAACATTGCACAAGGAAACGTGTGACTTTGAGGCCAGGGAGAGACCTGGCAGGGGGATCAGTCTCTCCCGGCGGGCCCGAGAGCTACTGGCACGGCTTCCTCGCCCTCCACGGCAATCTGTGGCACTGAGGAGGGCAGCCCAGTGGCCTCCTCCTGCGGCTCATCAAAGCTAACCTCCTGCACGGCCTCCTGCTTCTTGAAGGAGTCTCGGCGCTCGGACAGGTGCAGTCGCCGCATGACCACGAGCTCGGCTTCTGGCCCACGACTGCGCCGCCCTGCCTCCCCATCCAGCCGCTCCCCTGTGCCCAGCTTGTCAGCTGAC